TAGTCATTGTGGTGGGGAGGGCATTGCAGACTCCATGGTAGCAGAAGCACCTAGCTGGAGAATCTCACATCTGCATTAGTGAGGAAGCAGGGTAATTCTATGGCTCGGATCAACTTCGATCTTTGGTTAAATAGAGGACACCAGCCCATGGCAAAAGGCAAAAGGCACATTCAGGGTAGGTGTTCCCCTCCCTGGAAACACCTTAGCAGACAAGCCTAGCAGCACATCTTCTAAGTGACCCCAAATCTAGACAAATTGACCACCATGGTCCAAAGGAGGGTGTTTGCTTCCTCTGTCCCTCAAGAGAAGGTAACAGGAAGCTGCTATGTGGTTTTCCCCTAACTCAGGATTCCACCAACTTCCCTGTACTATTGATGGCTCAGAAGTGGCACCGACAGGAATAATTCTTCCCCTAGCTTCAGTTGACCCCCACTTTTGCCTCCTACTTTTCGGCAGCTACGGGAGGATAAGTGCACCTCCCTATACATCTAATTTATCATTGTTCCACCTTTTCTCTCCCCAAAGTACACACTGGTGGATGGTCAAATCCCAAGAATCAGAAGTCAATAAAAGAAATGAAGACCTGCTAGACCTTGAACCAGGCTATATACTTTGGACCAGCCGTACAAAAACTCTAGTGAAATAATACCTTTTGTGCTCTGTCTATGGGTTTCCCGTATGTATGCATGACTCCTTACATAATTCACAAGCAAAGTAAATGTGGTGCAGAGTTGAGTTCTTCGATTCCAACGACTTCCCAGAAGTCTCCGCATTTTAATTATAATAATTAACCTTGTGAAAACTGTTGAGGTGGTGCTCTAAGAAAAACCATTCAGTCAGACTAACAGGAGAGGGATTTTAATTGATAAATCAGGGTGTGGCCTTCCAGGGTTTCCATTCCTTCCAGAATCTGTCTGGAGTCTAATCTAGCTCAAACTTCATTTCCTTTTTTGTCCACCAAAAAAAGGTCTCTGAAATGTGTTTTATGAAATCTGAATTTCAAAGTTACATTGTTTCTAAAGCCAGTCTTGCTTTTTGCTCCATTGGTAAACTTGAATTTTAAAAGCCTGCCTAACCAAGCTCATGAAATTGTTGGAATAAAATGCACAGGGAGACTGGAAGGTACTTGGAAAGTAAGAGGACATTTAAAACAATAAAAATATATTATTTAGCAGAATAGTCTACTAAATAAGAATTGTAGTATAAAAGGAGATATAACTAATCCTGTTTCCTCGAGCACCAGTATTTGTCCTCTCTGCAGTCCCATCTCTGGAATTCTCTGATCTACTTTATTTTGCATTTAGAGAGTTGTTAAATTATTTGGAACAGGGCTCTTTAAATGTGCACTCAACACCAACAATTCTAAATTGTTTTATTCTTGTTTTCCTCCCGAACAGGGGAGATTGAGATGTGATCAAATGTAGACAAAGAAACTACAGAATTTAAAAAGGGGTCTAGCTTGCAGACAGTGATGGATGCTTTGCAAAAATACTTTTCTCTGAAAGCTGGAGACAGGAATTGTGTCTTTATTCTCTGCTAGCAAGTCCCAAGTTCAAACAAACAGCCCAGGAGCTGAATGCTATCTGTTTCAGAGTCCAAATCTTCAACCGAATGCTCATTCTCATCCAGAAATATCTTCTTTCTTTCTACATCAGAATTATCTTTGTTTTTCATTTATTTTAGGGAAATTCATGCATGAGTATTTACATAGTTTTCACCCCACCCTCTCCTGTGCCATTCCTATTACTCTCTCTCTCAAATTCATGACCACTTCACACACACACACACACACACACACACACACACACACACACACACACCCTGAGTCCATTTAGTGCTGGTCTTAAGTACATATGCTTAGGAGTAACCACTTGGGAATGGATAACCTATCAGAGTGATTGTCCCTGGAGAAGACTGATTTGCCTTCTTTTAGCAGCCATTATTGCCTGAAGTATTAAATCTAAGGGTGGAAGATAATAAAATTTTCCCTATCCAGCCTTTGGCATGTCAACTGGTGGTATCAATGCACAGGTCTTGGTTAGGTGGCCATGCTATTACATGGCATGTGCAGCTCCTTTCCATGTTGTTATTTTTTGCATGCAACCCAGTGGAAGCTTCAATAATTTAGTGTATGAATATGGTTCTGACCTAAAATAGGCATGATAATGCTGAAAAGTAACACAAAGCAGCAGGGTTCTCACCCATCTGATGGCCAGGAGGGTGTACCAGCTCTCCAGCTCATTGTATTAACCTCATTCCACACCTCAGGAAACTGTGGGAGCTGTCTAGCAGCAGATGGAGGTGGGAGGATTCTAGAACGATGTAAAGTCTAGCCTCTTACTTCACAGATTATTGTGCATGGCTAAGATACCTACAATGATGCTCCTGTGTTGGGAGTGTCAGATGACTATCAGGAGCACAGTAAATGAATGATGTTGGCTCTCTGCTTTTGGGCTCACCGAGCTTGGGGAATTACTATTATACTGATTCCAGTTCACAGAATTTCTGGGCCATCTTCTTCCCACACTCTTTCCTACTGTCTTGTGTTGTGAAGGTTCTCTCGTGCTTCCAGGTCCCAAAGCTTCAGCACCAAATGAGCACACAGAAACTCTATATTAATTATAAAAATACAGAA